AGTGTGGTGCACCTTGCCCCAAGAGTAGCATCTAGTACAGCATTCCAGTCAAGTTCATTGGTGCCTGGGGACTGGACGCTGTGTTAGACATGATACGAGACACCCTGCATCCTGCATTACAGCCGTGTCCTCGATGGAAGCAGCCCAGGAGAGAAGTAGGTCAAACCCTCAGGCCAGTGATTGAGGAGAGGAAGTTGCTCTGGCTCTGAGGACCCAGCACGACTCACTTCATCTTGGAGAAAACGCTGTGTGTCCCCGGAGTGTGTTTCCCAACACTTAACTGTACTGCTTTGGGAGAGACAAGGGTGGAAGTGGCTGTATTTGACACAATAAGGAACCATGGGCCCCGAGCATGCTGTTTTCAATATCACCGAGGCCGAAATGCATGGAGTGTGAAGCAGGTCAGGATAAGGAGTGTCATGGCTTGAACCCCAAGGTGATGATATTGGGGGTGGTTCTTTGGAGCTTACTGGACCCCTTCTAAAATGGGCCCAAGGGAGCTCATTGCCCCCTCCGCCCTGTGAAGTCATGGAGAGAAGACGTCTAGGAAGGAAGCAGGACCTCACCAGACACCAGAACCAAGGCATCATGGTCTTTGACTCCCAGCCTCAGCAACGGAGAAGCTACTGTTGTCTGAAGCCGTGCAGTTTAAGGGGTTCTGTTATAGCAACCGGAATGGACTAAGACAGGGAGACAACTGGTTCATTTTTATCCATAAGTATTTACTGAGAATGCCCCCTATACCAGGCACTGGGCACACAGACACGAACAAGGACCAATCCTGTCGTCAGCTCTGTATGAAGGAGGGAGGTCACACAAGTACATTGTGACCCACAAAGACAACTGACACAGGTTTGCTTCAAAATCTCTAGGATAATCCAAGGGTGAGGTGGGGTGTGGTGGGGCATGCCTGCAGTCCCAGTGACTGGTGGGATTAAAGGGGCGGGGGCGGGTGGGGGCGGAGGCAGGAGGATGGCAAATTTGAGACCAGCCTGGGAAACTTAGTGAGACCCTGTCTCAAAATAAAGATAAAAAGGGCTGGGGGGGTCTAGCCCACTGGTAGCGTGCCTCTGGATTCAATCTCTAGTACCAAGGGGGGAAAAAATCCAAGGATGAAGGAGTAATGAGGGAACATCTGAAACAAGATGGGTCTGTGTGGATTGCAGAAGCCCAGGGTGGGGGGACGTGTGAGCGCAGGACACCACTGTATATTCCTATAGTAACCAACAGGATGGGGAAAGGGACTAAGAGAGTGACAACACATTCAGAAAGAGCCCACCTGAAGAGCAATAAAGATTTGTGGGCGGGGCTGGGGATGTGGCTCAAGCCGTAGCGCGCTCGCCTGGCATGCGTGCGGCCTGGGTTCGATCCTTAGCACCACATACAAACAAAGATGTTGTGTCCGCCGAAAACTAAAAAAAAAAATAAATAAATATTAAAAAAAATTCTCTCTCTTTCACTCTAAAAAAAAGATTTGTAGGCTCTTTAAAAATGACAGTTTTATTAGCCTCGAGGTGATTTGGTGGCCTGAGGAAACCCTAGTGCCTGATGGCAACTATCCAGTGTGGACATTTAATAGAGTGCTACATTTGAGCTCACTATTAGTGCACTTGCAGGCTGTATTCTGGTAATAAAAGTTTATCAGGAAAATTGTAATTGATGTAAAGGTATTCATAGAGTGAAGCATAAGAAAACAAGTCAAAAATTTAGCAGGTGAGTTTTGAGGAGCTGGTGGGGCCTGGGTAGGAAGATCTGGGAGGCATTTTAGAGTCTAGATCAGCAAAGATTCAAAACCAGAATAATAACACCAACACTAATGAAGTGGCAAGCCCATCTAGGGATTTGGAAATAGGATTGAATTGAGGGAGGCAAAGTGGTCTGGGGCCCTTGATTATCAAAATCAGAAGTAAGATATACCTAGAAATCTCACCTACAACACTTCCAAGTGTTTTACATTCCAGTGGGCTTTTACTACACATTCTTGTGTAATAAAATATTGTGTGTGTGCGCGCGCACGTGTGTGTAAAATCATTCAAGATTTCTTTAAAGCCATCCTGCATATTTTGGAAAATATGCATTTTCTATCGTTATGCCTGTTTAACAAGCTGATTTTATCATTTCTACAAAGCCTGCGGTCTGTGAAGGTACACTGCCTCCCTAGGGAGGAGGGCAGGCCTGAGGACTTCCTTAAAGAAAGGCTCAGGCAGAAGGTAGAATTTGGATGAAAACTTCAAAGATAGTTGTAACATAAAAAAACAAAAACAACCAAACCTTGAGTGACATGGAGAGAGCACCTAGGCTGAGAATCTGTATGGTCAGTGGTTGCTGAAAAAAGCAGATGGTCAGCCCCGTATTGACCACCAGGCAGTTGCCCAGCCCAGAGGTCCTCACCCTGTTAGATACTGATACAATATGGCATGTTCTAAAATTGACCATGGTGATGGTCGCACAACTCTGTGAGGCTACAAGAGCTCCTTACATCGTACACTTTTGTGTTTCTGGGGACTGAACCTACAATGCCAGGCAAGAGCTGTATCACAGAGCTGCATCCCCAGCTCTGTGTGCTTTAGATGACTTTTATGTTAAAAAAGGAAATGCTAATGGCATTTGGATAAATTTTGTTTATTTAGTTATGTGCATTTATTTTCAGCTTTATTTTACAAACACTTCCATGATTATTATGTGCCATGCACTGGATTCCACACACTTTACAAAAGAATATATTTCATCCTCATAGTAACTTCCGCGGATACTATTGTTATTTCCATTTAACTCAGGCACAGAGGCACACAGAGGTTAAGGTACTTAAGGTCATTCAGCTAAAAATTGCAGTTGGGATTTGAACCCTGCCAGACTGGTTCCAGAGTCTGATCTTCAATGTTCTATTATAATAATTTCACACTTAGTGGGCTGGGATTGTGGCTCAGTGGTAGAGCACTTGCCTGGCATGTATGAGGCCCTGGGTTTGATTCTCAGCACTGCATATGAATAGATAAAATACAGGTCCATTAACAACCAAAAATAAAAATTAAAAAAAAAATAATTTCACACTTAGGTCTTTAAGGAACAACCAAATTGTTCTTTATAGAGGTCGCACTTTACATTCCTTTTTAAATATATTTTTTAGTTGTTGATAGACCTTTAATTTATTTATATGTGGTGCTGAGAATCAAACCCAATGCTTCACACATACCAGGCAAGTGTGCTACCACTGAGCCACAGCCTCACGCTAAGCAATTTACATTTCTACTAGCAATGAGGGTCCACATTTTTATTTTGCTGCTTTTTCCAGTGATATTTTTAACTGTAAGTGAGGGTCTTGGATTTGAGGAAAAAGGACAGAGCTTAGAAATTTATCCCTATTTATGATGCTAAATGTAAATATTTGATAATGCTTAATATAGGCCAGACACTGTCAGGTACTGGGTAGTGGTGGCTGGGCAGGGTAGAGAATGTGGATAAATGACATACAGTTCATGAAAAATGCTCAGCCTAATTCAGATGCAAGGGGGATGAAATGATATATTTGGGTTTTAGGAAGTATGGCAGTGAAAGGATTTTCAAAGAAAGGATGTAGGAAGATCAGTTGGAAATGTGCTAATTCAAAAATGATGGATATTTGAACTTGGGCAGGAGGGGTGAAAATGGAATTGAGTTTTGAAGGAATATTTCAGAATTAAAAATGACACAGTTTAGATACTGACTGTGGGGACCAGAGATTGGAGTGGGTTGAGAGTGGTTGTGAAGACACTGCTAATACAATTAACCAAGAAAGTACAATAGAAGGTCAAGATGAGCTCAACTAAGGAAGGTAGTTGTAGACAGGCTAGGTGTGGAGCTAGTAAGCCATCCTGGTGATATTCAAATAGGCAGGAACTGGGATGTGGATATCAGAGAAGGCTCTAGTTTTGAGAAAATAAATGACTTTTAAAACCCCCCTTTGGATTTGAGGCACTATGTACTAAGTTATTATAAGCAATGACTATATAGAGTAGTAGAGCTACCATGCATTTTGGGACACTGAACCTTGAATCCACTCATTTCTCCAATCTATGGTTTGGAAGAATGCCAACACTGCTTAGTAAGGGAAGTGGAGAATGTTCCGCTTTCAAAAGGACTAGTGTTAACCTGCACTTGCCCTGCAGTTTTCCTTAAGAATTCTCAAGTCCTCCTATTAGACAACAGCAGATGCAGTTTTCTGTATATTAAAAGTCAGCATAAGAAGTTTGTGAAAACTTTCAGAAAAGGAGAAATATGGTACTGAGGAGTTGTGCTGTCACGCCCGCCTCAAAAGACATCAGGTTCAAACCCACTTTTCCCTCAATCATCATCATCTCCTTCTCTTTTTTTCTTACTATTTTCCTTTTCTGTGTGCTTTCTTCTTTTACTTCCTTCATCAGATGAATGTTAAGTACAGACAAAAGCAACATTTAAGACGCTTTTCCCCCCTTCCTGCTACTGGGGATCACGCAGGTCTCTCCCACCCTCCTTTTGGAGACAGGCCTGGTCAGGAACCTCGCTCCTACTGCCTGGCCTCCCAAGGAGCTGGGAGCACAGGCGGGCGCCACTGCGCTGGGCCGACACTGCAGCTTTGAGAGCCAGCTATTCCCCACGCGGGAGGAGTGAAAACGGAACCGCGACAACAAGAAACCAACGCCCACTCCGAATCCGCAGCCCGGTGGGCTTCGCTCGCTGACCCCACCCGCCCCTGCCCAGGACCGCGACCTCTCGGCCTGGCTAGCGGTAGCGACCAAAAGGCGACTTCCTGCACCTCGGGAAACCGAGAGGTGAAAAAGCAGAGTCTGGCCGTGCCAGCAAAAGCGCAGCCGCCCGCCCGCGCTTCTTCGCCCGGCCTCGCAGGTTCCCCCCACTACACCGCCGCGGTGATTTACGTCTCCCATTTCCGGGAAGTGCGCGTCCCGGCGCCCGGAAGTGCGTCATCTCCCCGCGCCGGCCGCCGCACGCCGTGCGCCCCGTCGCGTAGCGCTCGGGTTCTCTTGCTGTGCTGCTCAGGTGCTGGAGGAGCTGGGACTGCGGCAGGTGCCGTCGCTTCTTGGTGCAGCCATGCAGGTCTCCAGCCTCAACGAGGTGAAGATTTACAGTCTCAGCTGCGGCAAGTCCCTTCCCGAGGTGAGTCCGTCCAGGTCCCTCACTCCGGAGCTCCTGGGGGCACTCCTCGCCCACCAGCCGCCGCTGTCCTTGGCCCTGGCCTTGGCCCTGGCCTTGGGCCTGGCCTTGGGCCTGGCTTAGCGGGGCCTCTACTCCCCCCGATTCGTGGAGGCCCAGGGGCCAGTGGCTGTGAGCTAGGGGTCTCGTCGGCCCTGGTAAACAAGGGCGCTACTGTCACCGCATCAGAACCTGGACCGGGAGGTGATCAGGGTCGAAGAGCTTTGCTGGAATTTTTGTGAGGTTCACCAGAACAGAGGGTCTCGTCCCTTGGGCTTGTGTGCATGTCCACAGCCATTCCCACGCCGAGCAGCAAAACGTGGGCAGATGGGTTGACAGAACTCTCTTCCCCTATTTGAATGTTCTCCCGGTTTTCATATCCGTTCGTTTTTGTTGAGCTCCTATTATGAGCGAGGTCCTAGGGTCACAACGGTGGACAAGGGAGATCCAGACTTTGCACCTGTAGCATTTATGGACAGTGTATTCGAATCTTGCTGAACTTGATTCCATGGTGTTAAAACGTCGAAGTCAGAAAGGCCTGGACAAATCGGTAGTACTTCTTCAGTCTTTTCATGTTTGAAGTATTCAGCGAAGCTCTCGCCAGGGGAAAGATGACTTATCCAGGGTCACACAGTAGGCTTTGAAGCTTGGTTTTTAGTTCTTATAAGTGGTAGTTAAGCCTCTGTTCAAGCACTTCCAGGGAGAGAAAACTTTGTGGACGCTCATTTCCTTTCGCAGGTCTCCATTCTTAGGAGGGTGAAAATTTACAGCCTTAGCTCAAAATTCTCAAGACTCTGCACTTGTTAGAAAGTGGTTTCAAAATGTACCACTTGATAACATGCCACTATTGGGTGGAGTCTGGCCTTTGGAAAACAAAATAAAGGTAGCTCTACTTCAACGGAGCTCTTCTTCAGTGTATCCGTAACCACTGAGAAATTTGGAACCAATGGTTTAACTGATTCCTCATCTTCCAGTTGTTCTTAACATAGGTGATCTTTCTCATTTTGTTTTTTCATTTTGCTCATTTGTTGAGAGTTAGTATGTGCAGAGAGTTCCATTTTTGTTTGTTTGTTTGTTTGCTTTTCTGTCCTGGGAATTGAACTTAGGACCATGCTGGGCAAGTGGCAAGCTCTCTATTGTTGGGCCACATCTCTAGCCAAGGCAGCTCTAAGTGTTTGGGTACATGGTGAACGTGTTAGATAAAGTTCCCTGTTGGGGAAAAGAATAATGAACAAATGAGCAAATGAGAAAACAATTTCAGATGATAAAAAGTGCTTTTAGTGATGAATGGTTGGGAGTGGGGAAGTCTTATTTTTGATATTGAAAGTTTGAAGTTCTAATAAGTATCAAGTGGAACCTTGAGTAGTAAATAGTAGTGTACATTCTAGCTCTACCTCCTTCAAATGTAAGAGTAAATAGGGTCTTCCCCCGACCCCTTTCCAGCAAGAGAGAGGCACCTATGCAGTGAGAGTGAGGCAACCAGCCTTCCCAGAGCTTGCTTGCTTTTGGGGTGCAGAAGGGGGTGGGGCTAGGTTTCTGATTACATTATTTGGTAAGGTGCTTTTTTTTTTTTTAAACTGGGGATGCTCTACCAGCCCTTTTTATTTTTTGTTTTGAGACAAGGTTTTTTTCCTAAGTCACCCACACTTGGAACTTGTGATCCTCTTTCCTCAGCCTCCTGAGTACCTAGGATGGCAGGCATGCACTACCACATGTAGTACAATTCTTTATTAGGTATAACTTTATAGAATATTGAGAGGATGGCTTAATTTAGTGAAAGCTTTTGGTTCTTTCATGAACTTTAGAAACATTTTTAGGCTTCTTTTTTCTTGTCCCATGATGACTCCTTTTCCTGTGTGCTGTCAGCTTTTATATAGAAACTCCTGAATGAACTTTTCTTCCTTCCCATCTTCACTGTGTGGAGAATTCCTGGCCTTCCAGGTCCCAGACCCCCATGTAGAAGGATATCTCAGTCTTCACCTCTTTGCCCCACACTCATTTGCTCAAAAGGATGAGCCCTATGATTCTATGAATTTTTGCCTTTGTAAGCAAAACTTCTAAGAAAATTGTATTCTAGTGTATGGTGGTGGGGGGCACCTTAGTAATATACCTTTGTTCTGCTTATGATAAATTGATGTGAAAGAACACATTGAATGCCCCAAAATGTACTCAACAGAACCTTTAATTACAATGTTACTGCCTAAAGTAAAATCAGAATAATACAATCACTGGCATAAATCTGTGTCAGTCCACTAAGAAGATGGGAGGGAGCTCTGGCTCAAAATCAGGCTCTTCAAAGTGTTATCTTGTTCCTCATGTAGACACTGCCTCAGGTGTCACTTAGGGACTTGAGTGGTGAATCTGCATAACCAGAGAGTCCTGAAGATTATCATGTCATAGAATAGGGGATGTACATTGACTTGTGCTTTTAGAGGAGACATATGTTTATTTTTCTTTTGCTTTTCTTTCACTTCTTTATGGCAGGGTTTCTTCACCGATATTGACATATGGACATTTTGAGCTGGTCAGTTCTTTGTTCCTGGAGCCTGTCTTATGCATTTATCATAGGATGTTTGGCATTGTTCTGGTCTCGACCTGCTGCATGCCAGGAGGATAAACCCCCACCCCAGTTGTGACAACTATATTTTCAGGAATTGCCAAATGCCTTTTGGGGAACAGAACTGCCCTGGTCAGGAGCCATTGCTTTAAGATAATCATAATTGACAAGTGCTTCCTCTTGTCACCCAGTTAGGCAACAGAATTGTGCTGCTTGCTAGGCTGGGGTATAGAACAAAACCTGGTATCAGTGAGTATGACTGTAAAATTACCATTTATTTATTATCCAGTCAGCTATTTGGCCAGTTATTTATCTGCTTTATTCTTTATGAAAAAAGAGATATTTCAGACTTTCTACTTTTATGTAAAATTTTCACTTAAATAGATGCAGTTATTCCATATATGAGTTACATATTTGAGGCTTACTATTTTCCCTTATATTGTTTAGATGAATTAGTTTTCTTTCATATGAAACATAGGAGTTTGAGAAACTCGTTGTCTAATGTATGTAAGCATATACAAGAAAAAATCCACAACATCTCTTCACAGTAGTAGTATTAGGATCACAGAATATTTTCATCTTATGTAGAAGTATATATTCCTATCAGGTTTGAATTTTCTAATGTATTACTACTTTTGTAAGCAGAAAACAATTTAGGTGAATTTGTTTTAAAATACAATCTCTTTATTTTCTTTAAGTGGTTGTCTGATAGGAAAAAGAGAGCACTGCAGAAGAAAGATGTTGGTGAGTATTGTCTCTTTCTGCTTCAGTGACGTTAGTGATCCGTATTATAAAGCTCTGGCTCGCCTGTTGTAAGTAAGGAGTTACAAAATACAAAGGGACTACTATAGTGGAAAATAAACACTTTTGCCTTTTTCTTTTTAAGAAGCTTTTTGTTGTGGTTGATATGTTCCTGGGAGGTGTGGGATTTGATTTTATTCTACTTAAAAACTAATAAATTAACCTCTTACTTCCTGGGTCAGAGATAGAGACTTTATTACTTAGAGCACAGCAAGTCCAGTGAGTGTCAGCATACTCATGATAATTTCCACTAGAGTCCCACAGGGATATTCAGCACCATGCAGATGGGTGCTCCCTAGACAGTGGATTTGCGTTGCAGCTAAGGCGCCTTGAGCTGGGAAGACCACTGCTTTTATAGCAGTCAGTAAGGAAGCCTGCTCTTTGTCTAAAAGGGACATATAATTGCATCTGTCAGGGTTTCCAGCTGTATAAATAACCCTGAAAAATGGTCTAGATATAAGAGTGGCAGTGCCTTGCAGTCTTGCCACAATCAGCAAGATGTATGAGAACTCGAGGCCCAAGGAGGACCTCTTTGAACATTCCAACAATTTTTTTTTTTTTTTTGAGGGGTACTAGGGATTGAATTCAGGGGCATTTGACCACTGAGCTGCATCTCCAGCCCTATTTTGAATTTTATTTAGAGACCATCTCACTGAGTTGCTTAGTGCTCACTTTTGCTGATCCTCCTGCCTCCTGAGTCACTTTGTGCCACTGTGCTCAGCGACATTCCAACATTTGTTTTGTTTTCCAGTGTATCAGAATCTTTTTAAGTTAAATCTATTTGTCTGTTTTTTAAATAATAAGCATTTTTCTTTCTGAATGAAAGAATTATACACATAGAGTGTATGAACATAAATAGAAGATTTGGATTCTTTTGTAATATAATTTTTTCCCTACATTTTTTATTGGTACGTCATAATTATATGTATTAATGGGAAGATTTTGATTCTTTAACTTGATGACAGCAGAGAAAAATCAGAATGTAAGATTTCTGATTATGAAATCAGAAATTGGTGGACAGATTTTCTTTACATTTTTCTCTATTACATTTTGTCATGGATAAAAAATTTATCTTTCCTTGTTTTTTCTTTCTTTCTTTTTTTTTTTTTTTGGTACTAGGAATTGAACCCAGGGGTGCTTAACTACGGAACCACATCCACAGCCCTTTTAATTTTTAATTTTGAGACAGGGTCTCTCTGAGTTGCTAGGGCCTTGCTGAGTTGCTGAGGCTGGCTTTGCACTTGTAAGCCTCCTACCTTATCCTCCTAAACCTGGGATTACAGGTGTGTGCCACTATACCTGGCTTCCCTTATATTTCATTTAAAATTGAGTGTATAAAAATCAAAGATTAATGGGTTTCTGGATGTGGGGTAAAGATCACAAGGTAAGAGTAGGTTTTATATAATACTAAAGTTAGAAAATTAAAATTTTAATTCAAAAGATAACAAAAATAACTGCTCTAATACTTACAGATTTTGATTTTATATAATTCTCCCATTCCCTTGTTCTCTTGTGTAACAAAATGGATTCATGGGACTGGGGTTGTGGCTCAGTGGTAGAACTCTTGCCTAGCATATGTGAGGCACCGGGTTCGATTCTTAGCACCACATAAAAAATAAAGTTATGTAAAAAAAAAAAATAAATAAACTGGTTATTTTTTCTCTCTCTTTGTAGATGTCCGTAGGAGAATTGAACTTATTCAGGATTTTGAAATGCCTACTGTGTGTACCACTATTAAGGTGTCAAAAGATGGACAGTATATTTTAGCAACTGGTAAGCATCTTTTTGGTTATGATTTACATACATTTCATAGCATGAAATGCTGTGGTGGAAAGGTCACTTTTTTTTACCCTAACATTTTATTGTAAAAAAGTTCAGACATAAAGAAATATTGAAAAAAATTGTACTATGAGCACCCAGTTATTTACTGCCTAGATTCTGCAATTAATAGTAGACTATTTATAGTAATAATTAAATAAATCGTTTACTATTTGCTGTCTCACCTATTTATTTCTCTTTCTGTGCATCCATCAATCCCTCTTGTTTTTGTTGTTGTTGTTGTATTGGGGATTGAACCCAGGGGTTCTGTACCCTGCTCATCTCGCCCTTTTTCTGAGACAGGGTCTTGCTAAGTTACCCAGATTGGCCTTGAACTTGTGATTTTCCTGTCAGCCTCCCAAGTAACAGGTTACAGGTGTGTGCCACTGTGCCTGGCTCTATCTTGTTTTTTGTTGCATTTCAGAGCAAGTAGTAAGTATTGGCTTACTTCACCTTTATGTACCTTAGCGTGTATGTCATTAACTAGAAATGCATGGAGGTTTTGTATGTGTGCGGGCTTGGTATAGTACAGGAGGTTGAGCTCAAGGCCTTGTTATGCTAGGCAGGTGCTCTAACACTGAGCTGCATTTCCAGCCTTGCATATGTCTAGGTTTACAATTTGTTGAGCTTTGACAAATGGACATAACCTGCATAATCCAGAATTGTTCTTGGGAATGAGGGGGAAAAAACAGGAAATAGAAGGACTGCTTTTATTTATGTTTATCTTTTTTGTCACATATTTTGTGATGGTCAAAGTAAAACATGTAAACCTTGTAAATGATAAAAAAATAAAAAGCAAAACCAAAACAAACAATATGGGAATGAAGGCCCCGCATATATTCAGTCTTCCATATGGCCCTTCAGACACTCAAATGTACAGATCTTTTTAAATGGTCATCATATAACAGTGGGCTCCAAGTATATTTACTGTTTTTTCAACTTCTGTTTATTTATTTATTTTTTGACAGTACTAAGGATAGAACCCAGGCCCTTGTGTATGGTAGGCATACACTTTGCCAGCTGAGCTGTATCATTAGCCCTGAACTTTTCTTTTTTAAAATGAAATCTTAGGCTTTCTTGTGGTATTGAGGATTTAACCTAGGGACTCTCTACTGCCAAGATATACCCCCAGCCTTTGTGTGTGTGTGTGTGTGTGTGTGTGTGTGTGTGTGTGTGTTACTGGGGATTGAACCCAAGGCCTTCTGTGTGCAAGGCAAACACTCTACCAACTGAACTATGTCCCTGAAATCTTAGGTGTTGATTCATGCCAAAAAACAAAACTATCTCATTTTTTTTTTAAGATTTTTTTGTTTCAAAAACCAACTTTTTTCCTCTCATTGCCAATGTGATAAGTTTATACAGAACACAAACTTACAGAAATACATAGCATAAAATGTGAAAGTCGTCAGAATTGCACTGCTCAGAGATAGACCATCATTATGAAGTCAGTACTTATTCCTCCACCTTTTCCTGCACAGAGTACTGCCACCACCGGCGTTCAGTTCTACAGAATGGAGTGCCTCTTCTGTGGCACTCCCTTCTGTTTTCTCCCTCTGCAGGACGTGTCATTTTCCACCCCAGGGGTTACAGGTCTGTTCCTCTCTTTATGAGGTGCATAATGTTCCTTTGCGTAGATTTGCCACCGTTTGTTTAAGCATTTTCCTGTCAGGTGACATTTCATTTGCTTTCAGTTTCTAGCCAGTATAAATAGTGCACCAGCAACTGCTCTTCCTATCTTTGGTACATTCTTGAGGATGTTTCTTTAGATTCAGTTTGTGTAAGTTGAAATGTAGTTTCAAGGTGCATAGACATGACATATCCTACAGGTATTGCCCGATTGTCCTCTGAAGAAGTTGTGTCAGTTACACTGTTCAGCAGCAGTATGTCAGACCACTCCCACCAGCACAGATCTTTTTCATCTTTGCCATTGGGGTGGACAAAAACGGCTTCATGGTCTCAGTCTACTTTCATTAGCTCTTCCTGAGGTCTTTTATTTGTAATTCATTTTCCATGACTTGCTTGTTTGTCCTTTGCTCATTTCCCTCTTGGACTGCTTTTAAGTTAGTTCCTTTTGTTTGATTTGGTCACAATGAATACTGCCTACCTCTGAACAAAAGGTATCCTCACTAGTTCTACAGGATATTGACTATGAAAAGTCTATCTTTAGGTTTTACATCACTTTAATTTTTTTTTATAGGAACATATAAACCCCGGGTTCGGTGTTATGACACCTATCAGTTATCCTTGAAGTTTGAAAGGTGTTTAGATTCCGAAGGTGAGTAAGATAATAACTTTGAGTTTGTAAAAATAATTTTTGATATTTGTCTACTTTTCTGCCTTTCAAAATGGAAATGGGGTGTTGTGCTAGTTAGTTTTTGTCACTGTGACCAAAGTACTTGAGAAGAACAATTTAGAAGAGGGAAAGTTCATTTTGGTTCCTGGTTCAGTGGTTGGCCATTGCTCTGGGCCCTGGGCAAGTCAGGACATCACTGTGGAAGAGCATGGTGAAGTGCTACCTATCTCATGGTGACCAGAAAGCAGAGAGAAAGTGGGGAAGGGGCCTCAGGGAAGATGCACCCTTCCAGGGCACACCCCCAGTGACTCACCTCCTCCAGCCACGCCCAGTTAGTCCATTAAAACTAGCTTGGGCCCATCAACCCACAACTCTCATAATCCAATCATTTCACCTCTGACATAGTTCTGCATTCACACAGGAACTTTTGGGGGACACCTCGTATCTAAACCACAACAGTTGTATATTAGTTTTCTATTGTTATGTATCAAATTAGTACAAACACGGTGGTTTAAAGATCCATTTAGCAGCTTGCTGTTCTGTAAGTCAGTAAGTCCTTCCAGGCTCTGCTGTGTCCTGTGTTCAGAGCTGAATCAGGGTGCCGGCCAGCTGTGCTCTTGTTTGTAGGACTGAACATAAGACTGTGCTTCCAGACTCACTCAGGTTGTTGGCAGACTTCAGTTTGTTGTGGTTGTAGGACTGGGGATCCCATTTCTTGCTGTCAGCTGGCTATGTTGGCTTGTTAAAGCTGTCTGCATGCCTTGTCCCGTGGTCACTGCCACATTTAAGCCAGCAGCAGCTCATTAGATCCTTCTAGTGCTTTGCATCTTTCTGACTTTCCCTTCACTACCAGCAAAAGGAAACTGTTTCTATAGGCTCATATGATTATAAATCTCCCCTTTGATATATAAGGTAACATTTCAGAGGAGTGGTGTCTCAGCAAGTCACAGGGTCCTCCCACACTCGCAGAGGAGCAAGGATTGTACTAGAGTAAAGGTCACTGAGAGTCATTCTCAGGTTCTGCCAAGCATGGAAGGCACATTAAAATGGGGAAGTTCAACTTTTATTAGCTGGCCCTGTGTTGGGGATTAAGGGAAAAGGAGTTAATGGGAGGTTACTAAGGGCCTCACTAAATTGCTGAAGCTGGCCTTGAATTTGTGATCCTCCTGCCTCAGCCTCCCTAGTTGCTGGGATTACAGGTGTGTACCACCACACCCGCGGGAGTTTCCTTAGAATTACAAGCCCATTCTAACTTGTCTCACCCTTGGCCTTTTGAAAACTAGAACCTCTGTGTGCCACTAGTACAGTGGTTTTCATTCTTTACTTTTATTTAGCAGATAAACTATGAATAGGTAAAGAGTTACTGTTATCCTTTTTTTTTAAATATTTTTAGTTGTAGATGGGCACACTACCTTTATAGTCGGGAGCTGAGCGCCCCCTAGCTTTGAGAGATGGAAATGTGGAGACTGGCTTCCCTAACTGGGAAGCAGGAGGATCCCCATCTCCCCTCAGCAGAGGAGCAAAGCTTTGGAGTGGGCTGCCTTCTTGTTCCTTTGAAATATTACCCCTTAATCTTTTTTGGGATAGAGTGTTCCATGGAATCTCCCCTTGTGTGCCCCCTATATAAGAATAAAGAATCCAGGTGGCTCTCTGTCTTTCCAAAGGACCCCTAAGGTCGAGAGCTGTCACTGGATCCAAAAAAAGGATATTTTCTGTCTGTGTGTAATTATTTTCGTGCCAACTCAAATTCACCTTGAGTGACCCTGACTGATTTAAATAAAAGTGTCGTGGCACTTTATTTATTTATTTTTATGTGGTGCTGAGGATTGAACTCAGTGCTTCACATATGCTAGGCAAGTGCTCTACCATAAGCTACAATCCCAGCTCTGTTATCATTTTTTAATCAATATTTAAAATGTTTTTAAACATATATTGGAAAGTTTTAAAAATTATTTTGAACATCTGGGTAAAATACTGACAAAATTTAGAAGTCATATTTTGTGGATTTGCTTCGTTCTATAAAAATCTAGATGGTTTATATTGAATTTTCCATTTGTCATTTTGGGGGCAACATGGCAGTTTTATTCTTTTATGGGTTAAACAGTATTTCTGTATAATTTCTGCGTTGAATTAGAATCTTTGCCTCAAGATTTTTTTTTTTTTTAAATGTTGATTGATAATTGCATTTTTCCCCCTATTTCTTCTTTTTCAGTTGTCACCTTTGATATTTTATCAGATGACTATTCAAAGGTATGTTTGACAGCATGGATTTGTGCTGATTATATTAAAGGAATGAGTGAGTGGAATTTATAAGGATAAATATATTCAATTTTCAGTTGTTAAAGAAGATTGTGTATTAGTAGATAACCTATCTTTTTTCTCTTAATATGTTTGTAGTTTGGTGCATGTGTGATATGTAGTATTTTTTAGGACAACTGAGGTAGAGATGACTTTTGGCCTAATTTAGCTTTCCATTGATGAGACTTTATCTCCATTTTTAAGAATTGGAAGCAGTCATTTTTTTTAGACCATCTTATGTACTAGATTTGTAATTCTGATTTTTGAACTTAGGTTTGTTGCCAGGTTGTTTTTGCTCTCTGATTCATAAGAGTGAATTAGCACTGTTGTACATTTCATTTTCTTGACCCAGCAAGTGGTTGTGGTGTCTTCTGGTACAATTCAGAACACAACTAAACAGATTTATTTGTTTGCTTTTCTTTATGCTGTTGGTCCATCTTTCAATTCTTATGGTCATTTTCTACAATTAGAAAATGTTAATAAAGTCTTTATTCAATTTAAAGTGAAAAATTTTTATGAAACATCATGATGTCCCATTAATATCTATAATTTTTATGTACCAGCTAAAATAAATGTATTAAAATAAAAGCATTATTTAGTGATGTTAAATGGCATTGTGAGGAATGGCTGGGGGTGCAGTTCAATAGTAGAGCACTTTCCTACTGTGTGCAAGGCCCTGAATTCAATCCCAGCACCATTAAAAAAAAGTCGACTTGAAGGAAAATTGAATTTTCTTAGCTGACATGCTTCATGCTAGGGGAGCGCTGTACTGCTGATCCACAATCCCAGCCCCTGATATGGTTCGTGTATTGTCTTTAGTTCTGAGAACTGTGAGTTTTCGGTTTATTCTTTTATCTGTGGTAGCTTTTATCATGTATTTTGGGGACATACAATTTTAAAATATATATTTTTTAATATTGACAAATTTGCAATTAAATGCTATCTGTAGGGTTTTCAGTTACCTTTGTAGTATAATTAAAATTAAATTAAATGAGTTTATCAAACTGTGTGATCGTGTGGGATTATTAGAATGTGTTCTTCAGTGAAGCAGAAAGGTGCTCTTGCGACTAGTGTACACCACTCCACATTAGAATGTGCTGGAGCCACGTCAGCGAAAGGCATTTGTCTTAGTTCTGTTGGTTAGAAGGAAAGGCTCTCAGAGACGATGCTGAGGTGCAGGAAGGCATCAGGAAACAGAGAAGGGTTGTGATTCTTTTTCTTAAGTTTTTTTTTTTAATAGATATTTTTAGTTGTTAATGGGCCTTTATTTTTTTTTACTTATTTATGTGTGGTGCTGAAGATCAAACCAAGTCCCTTTTACATGCAAGGCAAGTGCTCTGCCACTGAGTTATAGCCCCAGCCCAGGGTTGTGATTCTTAATTCCACTGGAGTGTGTGGGATGTCTGTGTGTTTAGAGAGAGCAAGTGTGAGAGCGATCAGTTTTTTTTTTTTTTTCCCCCTTGCTTTGGTGATGATGAAATAAAAACTCTATGTAGAAACCTAAGTAAAGTGATTTTCTTTTATTTTCAGATTGTCTTCTTACATAATGATAGATATATTGAATTTCATTCACAATCAGGTTTTTACTACAAAACCAGAATACCAAAGTTCGGGAGAGATTTCTCTTATCACTATCCATCCTGTGATTTGTACTTTGTTGGTGCAAGGTATTGGATCTACTCACTCTTTTTCTTTTTCCTTTTCACTTCACAAACAATTTCTCTTATTAAATTTCCTGTATAGTTTCTCTGTTTAAATAACCTTAACAGATAAAGTGATACATGGTTATTATTTTAAAGAAAAAAATCTTTGTGGGGTGTGGTGGGTACATGCCAGTAATCATCCTAGCTGCTTGGGAGGTTGAGGCAGGAGGATTACATGTTCAAAGTGGGCCTCAGCAATTTAGCGAGGCCCTAAGTACCTTAGTGAGACACTGTCTCAAAATAAAAAGGGCTGGGGATGTGACTCAGTGGTTAAGTACCCCTGGGTTCAATCCCCAGTACCAAAAAAAGAAAACAGAAACCAAGGAATAAGCCAAAAATAAGTCTACTAGTTACACACTGGTGCGTTTTGTGTATAAGAGGTATCGTAACGTTTTAATACCTGTTGTTCTGCTTTTAAAATATTCTAACATTAAAAGTGTTTATGGTAGTTTTATGTTACAGTGGGTAAAGCAGGAAATGCTGGTAGGAAATATAAGCCTGTTCAATATAGCCCAGTTGCCACAATGTACAAGATACATATTTGTTTATTTTACATATTGTTTATTTTACTCTGTTTCCCAGATTTCTCTTTATTTTTCCAAACTTGTAGTTCCTGCTTTAAGTTTTATTCAGTATCAGTAATGTATTTCTCTCTGAACCATTTTGTAATTGAGGTCATATGTGGTTATGGACTCTAGTTAAAAAACATTGGGAGCAGCTTTACACAAGAGTAATACATGATCCCTGCTTTTAAGTTGCTTTATGTTTCAAGGAGACTAAATCATTTAGGATGTCACCCTTGACTTCTGTTGCCTATTCTCTAAATACAGAGAGCTATATCTGCAACCTAGTAGGATAATTTTGTTGGTGAGGTCCATTTCTTAGCCCTGTTATATAGTATTCTAAAACTTCTTATCCTCAAGTGTCACCTTTTTATAAATATAAAAGAAAATTCAGGGGCTGAGGTTGTAGCTCAGCAATAGAGTACTCGCCTAACATATGTAAGGCCTTGAGTTCAGTCCTCAGCACTACATATAAATAAATAAAGGTATTGTGTCCAACTAAAAAGATATTAAAAAAGAAAATTCCTATCCCTTATAGAAAATTTTGAAAATGTAAAAAAAAAGTATAAAAAAAGAAAATTCATCCATAATTACATGACCCAGAGGAAACCTTTGCTAGTATTTTGTTGTATTTCCTTCTAATCTTTTATTTTATATTAGATATATTATATATACCTTTGAATCTTGCATTTTCTGTGTTATTTGTAAATAGTCTAATTACTTCATGATATTTCCTCAACAAATAGTTTAACTTACCTTTATACATTACGGGTTTGTAAATAAGATGAATATATTTTAGATCTGAAATAAATCTTTTTATCAGTTTTGCAAAGGAAAGTGATGAGTTATGATGATGATAATTAATCATGCATATATTTTATAAGTGATATGTGTATGTAGTTCTGAAATTTACATTTATTTAAATAAAAGTTTATTGTAGTTTGCCATATTTTTAGCTTTCTTCATTTCTTTGCAGCTCTGAAGTTTACAGATTAAATTTAGAACAAGGACGATATCTGAATCCTCTACAAACTAATGCTGCGTGAGTATTGTTTGAAGTGATGCTATATTTATTTTGACCAGGAGATGGTGCTAGGTGCTCAAGTTTTTAATCAGATAACCTGTATTATATTTAAGTAGACTTTGTTCCACTTAGTTTAAATTTTTTTTTCTTAAACAAAACCTTCACTAAGAGACCTGGTGATTTCTTTAAAAATTTCAATTCTCACTTTAAAACTTCCCCAGCCTTGAAAGGACTCAGCTTAGGGCTGGGGATATGGCTCATTGGCTTCCTACTTGGGTCACATGCATGAAGCCCTGAATTAATCCCCCAAGCTCAACAACAGCAAAACAAACAGAAACATTCAGCTTGATATTTTTATTTGCAGTGTTAAGTTTTCATTTATGATTTGGTTTTGTTCCACATTTTCTCACTTGGAAATTTTTGATTATTGTGTAATTTTTTAATTTTTTATTTTTTATGTTATCAGCAGACATTTGAGATTTAAAATTTTTTCCTTTTATCATACACTATAAGCTACACTTACATTTTATTCAAAGAGAAATTCTTTAGGAATGAACTTATTGTTATCATCTTATTGAATAATAAATAACCATGAGAATGAAAACACCACATACCAGGCATTATTCTGCCATTTTACTTATATCGGCTCATTTTAAACTGACATCAGATATTGTAGTAGGTCCCAGTGTCTTCACTTTACAGAGAGAGCAGCCTAGTATCAGAGGAGTTAGTGGTTTGCCCAAGGCCAGATAGTGAGTTCAGGATAGGAGCTGGATTGTTTCTCATTTGTGTGAAGAAAGAACTTGTTGAATTTGTCTTATTGCTTTGAGAATATTTTTAAAGGTTAGAAGAGCATACAGTGATTTATGAAAACAAGTAAACTTGTTCCACGTTGGCCTGAATTGCTTTTCTTTCTGCGGTACAGAGGATTGAACCTAGGGCTCTCTACCAGTGAGCTACATATCCAGCCCTTTTTATTTTTTATTTTGAGACAGGCTTGCTAAATTTTCCAGGCTGTCTTTGAACCAGCTATCCTGATGCTTCAACCTCCCAAGTTGCTGGGATTATAGGCATTGCTGGAATTATAGTCATGTGCCACCATGCCTGGTGTGCTTTTATTTTCTTTTTTAAAAAAGCTTATAGCTTCACAATGCATTATTGCATAACAAAACGTTACCTGTTCTTTAGTTTCATGATTTCCTGTTTATTATAATAAAAGCTGGTGTATTGTGTGTCTTCATACTATGTATATTGCTGAACACTTTGCAGTCACTTTCATTTAGTCCTCACAACAATCCAGTGAGGTAGGTGAAATATCTACTTGATAGAGACTGAAAATGAGGCTTAGATCAGCATTGCTGTAGTGATAGCCTGTATTCCTGAGACTTGCCTTGGAAGAAAGCAGAATAACCCTTTCTTTTCTAGATGGTGGAATAGTGTTTCAGAAGGAAAGCCTGTCTTGTCTGTCACAGGGTAAACAGGGTGTTACCTGTTACCTTGGGGACTGGAAGCTCTGGTGGCTGCTAGCCCAGGCTTAATTCCTTCATTTTTCACTTGCAGGTGATGAGAGAATATGCACATCTTCTGTCTCCTTGGAATTTGTATTAAATGTTTATTTTGAAAGCTTATTGAATACCTATTTTCTCAAAAATAGATGCTAACTGGTATTTTCTTCCTTGTTGCTTTACTGTTTTAGGGAGAACAATGTTTGTGACATAAATTCAGTGCATGGCTTGTTTGCCACAGGAACAATTGAGGTAAGCATGTGCTGACCTTATTTCTTTTTCCATTTCTCCTTTTTTTTTTTCCTTCTGTTCTAGTCATACATGACAGAGGAATGCATTTCAATTCATTGTAAACAAATGGAGCATAACTTTTCATTTCTCGTTGTACACAGTGTAGAGTTGCACGATATGTGTGGTCATACATGTACCTAGGGTAGTGATGTTCATCTCATTCAACCATCTTTCCTGCCCCCATATCCCTTCTCTTTGCCCAATCACTGACTTTATTTCTTTCAGTATTTGTTTCACATTTGATTGTGAATGGAATTTTTATTTAAAGACAGTTGCTTGATTCCTCAGAGCAGGATGATAATGAGGTAATGGCCCTGGTTTGCTGTTTGCATATTACATTGACCTTTGTACACAGAGACATGGCTACTCCACAACTGCTGACTGTGCTGGTCGTGCATGCATCAGAGTGGGCACCACAGAGACTGTTCTGGGTACTTGAGGGAAGGTATAGATAGCTAAGTCCAACCTGCCACTGCCCTGGGATTGCTGGCCCAAGAGGAGCACTGCAGGCAAACACGCTGGTTTTTATGGGAGGCAATATTTTTTGGAATCTCAACTCTCATTTATTAGATGGCTTCATGTCTGTGAATTAGTTGTTTTTCCTAAGACTGAGTTTCTTCATTGCTGAGACAGTAATACAGTCACAAGCTGCTTAATGACATTTGTGTCAATGATGGACTCTATGGGCTATGCCCAGCGATGCTGTAGCTGTCTTTGTGTTAGTACAAACTATAATGTTTATATAAGGATAAAATTGCCCAGTGATGTGGGTCTCAGATTGTATCCCCATCATTAAGCAATATGTGACTGTACTTACCTTAGCAACTCTTCAGAAGTGTGGATGATATTCATATGAAATAACCTATATAAAAACAACATAAACTAGAAAAGTATATAGAATGGTGTCATGTGTTATATAGAAGCATTCAACAAATATCAAACACACACTGTACTTTTAAACTACAGTAACTTTGAATCAGGGTGCTTCATGTTTGTCAAGAATTTTTCTAGATATCTGGGCATGGTGGTGCACACCTGTAATCTCAGTGACTTGGGAGACTGAGGCAGGAGGATTGCAAGTTTGAGGCCAGCCTGAGCAACTTAGCAGTAAATAGGACTTGGATGTAACTCAGTGGCAGAGTGCTCCTAGTTTCAATTCAATTCCCTGTACTGGGGGATATATATATATATATATATATATATATATATATATATATATATATGTATGTATGTATGTATGTATGTATATATTTCCCCCCACCCCGAGATTTGCATTTTTTCATTGGGATAATGAGAAATACTCAGAGTTTAAAAAGATGCACATATACCAGAGGTACATAACAAAAAATGTATTCTTGTATACCTTCCAGATACTAAATCCCATAATAGAGATAACTTATGACCAATTTTTTCCTTAATTAAAAAAGGAAATCAGCTCATGAAATAATTATTTAAACAGTACTAAAAAGGGCATAAGGTAAAAAGTTAAATTTTTATTTCCCATGAGATAATCAGTGTTAATAAATCCTATTTTGAATGTGTTTAAAATTCTTGTAGTAGTAACTTTCATTTAAAATTGGTTTTCATTTGTGTAGGGTCGAGTGGAGTGCTGGGACCCAAGAACTCGAAATAGAGTTGGCCTGTTAGACTGTGCGTTAAATAGTGTCACAGCAGATTCAGAGTGAGTAGAAGTTAATTTGTGATATAATTAATATGAACCTTCTGATTTAAGCAAACGTATCAATATGAAATTACAATAAATTGCTACAGTATTAAACTCTTTAGGGAAAAATTGTAGTGACTGTAATTGTTTTACATAAAAATGCTCTCATGTAAAAGCTGATTAAGTGGTTGATTCAGATACAATTTCTTTTTTGCTCCTTTCCTTCCTTCTGCCTTCCATTCCCTTTCTTTTTTTCTTTCTTTTCAGTTCTAGGGATTGAATCCAGGGCCTTGCACATAGTAGGCAAGTGTCCTGAGTGTCCTCGGGCCTTTAAAAAATTTTTTGATGGTGTTGTTCAAGTTGTCCATGCTGACTTCGATCATGTGATCCTCAGCTTTTGGAGTAGCTGAGATTCCAGGCATGCACCACTGTGCCCAGCCAAATAGAATTCCTTTCTCAAATACTACACAGACGTCTTAGTTCTGTGGAATTTGTTAGCGTATTATAGAGATTTATATTCTGATTCTACTGTATGACCAAGGACGCACTACTCTAGTTAACAGGCAAAAAGATGTGCTTTGAATGCTAAGGTGAAGGAAAGCAAGTTTTTAATTTTTTCTTGCTCGTATTTGTCTAATTCCTACACTAAACACATTTAGAAGAGGAGTACATAGTTGGAGTTAAAAACCTCTAACACAAAAGAATAGAGACTTGAATTAAATAAGAAGAAAAAGCGCTTGTTTCTTCCCACTCATCAGAGTGGCAGTAGTGTCGTCCTGTGCATGTGTGAACTCTTGTAGAGGATATTCTTGGGCAAATCCTTAACATGGGATTTGTTGCCACAGTCAGTTGAGAAATTGCCTTTTCTCTGGGCTCTAGTGCCTTTACCAGTTCATCCTCATTTCAGTTCAGTAAGATTTTAGATATGTTTTATAGTCATATAATATGGAATGTGGGGTGTTTGATGACTCCAGGATATAAAGACTGTGAACTCTCTGAATTATTACAAAATTTTGTGCACTTTCCTTTTTTGGGGTGGAGAGGGAGGGAAGAATTTATATATTTATTTATTTTTTAAATCAGTTCATGTGAAACATCTTTGACCTAAGGGAAAAAAAAATTAAGAATCACAAAGTTAGGAAGATGTGTCTTTCTAATATGTATTTCTTCTCTATGTGAGAAATAAAGAATAATTTTTTTCACCTTTTTTATTATGAGATTTAAAGTGAGCATAGAAACATTTTTTTTTTGTCCTGATTTTTATTGTCTTATTAAAGCAAACAAACAACTTCATTAATTTTGGTGTGGTATACAAAATATTAAGTAATTTTAAATTGGAAAATTCATTCCTATATTTACTAATAGAATAAATCAGTGTAAAATGCACATTAATATTTTATCATACAGGCATGAAAGAAAGCAAATCAGAAACCTGCTTATTTTTGGAAGGTAAAAAAATTGATTATAACTTAAAGATCTTTACGTACTCCCTAGAAAGCAGAGACTAATTTTCTCTCACTCTTAAATATTGACTATTCCTTGAGGTAGAATAGAGGCTTGGGTTCTGGAATAAGTTCTGTTGTCGATTGTTACATCTAGGAAAAAGTATATAGAAAGACAGGTTGTTGTAGTCTGTCTTAAGACTGTTCCTTCTTTTAATGTAGTGACTGCAATGGAGGTAACATTATAGAGAATCTAAGGAAGAGATGTGAAAAAAAAAAAAAAATCTTGCTGGGCAGTGGTGGTGGTGCACATGTGTAATCCCAGCGAATCAGGAGGCTGAGGCAGGAAGATTACAAGTTTGGCCAACCTGGGTGACTTGGCGAGACCCTGTCTCAAAATAAAATCATAAGGGGTGGGGGATGGATTGGGGATATAACTCTGGGGTGGAACGCTTGCCTAGCATGTGCAAGACCCTGGGGTTCAATTCCTGTAACAAATATATTTTGTTAACTGTGGTCTTTAGAAACAAGAGGGTATTTATTCTATTTATTTAAAAAATAGAATATTGGAGCTCCAGTGGCGCAATCGGTTAGCGCGCGGTACTTATAAAAAATAGAATATTGATTCACAAACATTTTTTACTGGCTTCTTTTGTCTTAGAGATAGGGTATTTTTAGCTGTCATGATGGAGTTTTTTTTTTTTTTAAATAAATGTTATTTTAAAATTTATTCTTAGTGAAAAAAAATTATTAAAAAGTTCTAGAAATACAAAAAGGAAAGTAAAAATGACCTGTGTATATGTAGGAAGATATCTTTAAGTAACCAGACCACTGTTGCTATCAGCTGGGTGTTTATAATTTGGTAATTATTTTCTGAGGGAAAATATCTAGAATCTGAAATATCCTGAGTTTAACAGCATATTTTTAAGCCATTTGATATGTTGCTAAATTGTCTTTACAGAAAACCTAGTATCCATTTAAATGTCTGCTCACTTGCTCATAGTGTACACTCTCCCATCTCCTCAGCCCAGGGCATCCACCATAGCGCAGTTACTAACATCTCTCTCTCTTTTTTTTGAGATGGGTTTTTATATGTTGTCCAGGTTGGCCTCAAATTTCTAGGCTCTAGCAATCCTCTTGCCTCAGTCTCCTTAGTAGCTGGGACTACAGGTATGGCTGCCACAGCTTGCTTTCTTGTTACTAATTTTAAAGTGTTAGAAAGAACCAGAGGATATTGATTAAATAAAGCTTGGTAGAAATAATAGCAAATACATAGTACAGGGCATTATTCTAAGTTCCTTCTGTATAGAACAATAGTTTTTTGATCTAGTTGCTGTTATTGTATTTACAGATGAAAAGCATCCATCAGTGGCATGTTTACTGTTCAGCCTTTTAAGAATTGTTTCAGAAGCATACTTTATTAACAGGAAAGGATGCTTCAAGTATATGGTGCAGTGGGAAAGTAAATCACGGTTGCCTGTAGAATTTTTTCACATTCGTGTAAGAAGAACAATGAACATGTATGTGTACAGCCAGAAGAAAAAATCTGGAGGTATACGAAAATGTTAAAAGTAGTTTTCTTACTGATTCAGTTTTAGGTGTTTTTATTTTTGTTTTTTAACTGCTTGATTTTATTTTTTTCCTACAAATCTTGTAAGCCACCATTTCCATTATTTAACAAGTTCTGGAAGGTAGAGTCTATACAGAAAGAAAGAAAAAAGTGTAAATATGCATGGGGCGGCAGGAGATCATTATTTGCAGGAGAAATTGTTGTCTGCCTGAGAAGCCCAACAGAATCAACTGAAAACCTGTGAGAATTAATTAAGATAAATAAATTGATTACAAAGTAAGTGAACAAAGATCAGTGACTTTGGTGTTCATCAGCAATATCCTGTTTTATATAATGGACCAAAGTTCTCATTCACCACAAAAATTGCAAAGTACAATAATTCTGTAGTACTTTTTATGAAGACAATGGCAAAATTTTAATAAGAAACAAAGTTTGAGTAAGTGGAAAAAAAATGTATCAGTGTGCTAAAGAATTTTCCAAGGTTCACTTTGAAGAGGAGGCAAAGCCTCAGGCTTCCTTCTGATAGCTACTTCCGTGGCGGTTCCAGGCTGAGGCTCTGGGTGGCAGAAGAGGCAAAGCTGTTGCTCAGTGCCAGCAGCCTGGTGGACCTGGGCCAAGGACATTCAGACATGGAAAGCAGGAATGCTTGTCCATTTCTGAGTCATGTCCGTCACTATTTGCACTTGGATCATTGCTTTTTGTGCAGAAATTCCCGGTTGGTGGGTAAGAAGCGCATTCTAGAGATGTCTTTGATACTCTTAGAGATCCTAGGGTCCTTATTTGGAGATACTCTTTTGTTTTACCTGGATGTAGCAAATTATGAAATGAAAATGTGTATACCCAAGTCCAAAAATAAAATTGTTTTCTCCTTAAGTAAAAACAGATTTTTTTCTGAGAATACCTTATCATGGTTTAAATAAAATGGAAGGTAAATATAGATTGCATTTGTATGTAAAATGTATTTCAAATTTTAATTATAAAAGTGTGGCTGCACTTATCCTCCAAACAAAAGGCTAGAAAGTCCCCATTAGAATTTTTTTTGGTACTGAGATTGAACTTGGAGGTACTCTTATCACTGAATTCCGTCCCCGTCCCTTTTTATTTTTTTGATTCAGGGTCTGGGTAAGTTTCTAACGCTGGCCTTGAACTTACTATCCTTTTGCCTCAGCCTCCTGAGTTGCTGGGGTTATAGGTGTGCACCACTGTACCCAGCTCCCTATTAGATTTGAAGTGAAGTTTAGCAATGACTTTGTTACTTAGAATGAGGTTTGACAGTATATTCATGGAACATGAATATTTTGCCTTTCAGGATAAACAGTTTACCAACCATCTCTGCTTTGAAATTTAATGGTGCTTTGACCATGGCAGTTGGAACATCTACAGGGCAGGTAAATAATGTTTAAGTTGAAATGTCATATGGAAGTTGGTCTTTCAGAAGCATGTGTCAGGAGAATCATACTGTGGGAACACAGAATGGGACATTAAAGTTTGGCCTGAGTGGTGAGGATACTCCAGAATGCTGGATTCTTCTAATACCTGAGGAAAGCTTGACTTAACCAAGCATGATGCACATGTTTGTAATTCCAGCTACTCAGGAGACTGAGGCAGGAGGATCACAAGTCTTCCCTTAGTGAGACCCCATCTCAAAAACTTAAAAGGGATGTGGGGTTTTGTGCATGTATGATTTTGTCAAAATGAACCCAGCTAGTATGTACAAACAATGCTCTAATTAAAAAAAGAAAAAGCGGGGGGGAAGGAGGTTGGTGGGGTGTGGTTCACTGGTAGAATACTTGTCTACCATGCATGAGACCCCGAGTTTAATCCCCAATACTACAAAACAAAACAAAAGAAGAAATATTTCCCCTGTGCGTTGTCTGAGTACTGTGGAGTTAGAGATAACAGTGGGGTGGGCACAGGCACTTCCCCCCATATTCTTCTGTTGGTGCGTTGTAATTGTACATAATGTTGGAATTTGCTGTCCCATGCATGTCTGTCAGAACCTGCACACAATGTAACACTGTAATTTGGCCAGGAGGGCCCAGGGGTTTTCTTGGTAGGGGTTTGGAATGGCATTTTCCAGAGAGTGTGGAACAGAGATCTGTGGTCAAGAAATGGAAATACGGAATTTTGCCCTGCTCCTATTCTTGGAAATTCATAGTGGGTTTAAACACATGTCAAAGAACCTGAGAATTCCTGCAAACAGGAAATGTGGTCAGGAGATACTTTCAAGATTTGTGTATGCAAGGGACCTTTTGGTCACATAGCACTGTTAGCCATATCCCTTGCAGTGAGACCCTCAGAACCTCCATTAGCAGGGCTATTCTGAGGTCTGACTTTCCTTGAAGGCAGAGCCCACATGCTTGGAAGTTTTCTTTAAGTCCATGAGAGACCTGAAACCCACCTTTATTTAATAGATACTGCCTCTATTATTCTGTGCTAGAGGGGGCCTGTCACCCAGGACTGAGATTCTACCTTCCCTAGGCCCCCTTGCCTCTAACAACAAGGGTTAGAAGAGATTTCCCTGCTACCGAAGTTGTGCCATGCTGTCACTGTCGGCCTTAACCTCCCTGGCCTGTTTCATTATGTCTTTCATTCACACATCAATTGCGATAGCAGCAATTGGACATAGTAGGCCCTCAGTGTGTATATTTGTTGAATTAACAAATGAAAAAAATAATTATGGACTTCCAGTTATTTCTTTCTTAGTATAGATCAGGAGTTTTCAAGCTTAGTGTATGTAAAAATGACTCTCAGTTTTGAATTCATAAACTATACATTCTAAGGGTAATTTAAAAGACTTTACTAGATTATTGCTGGTAATGTTAGGACTCTGAGTAAGGGTGTTGATTGTGTTCATGAAAAGGTAATGAAACAAACAAATGGCTATCATTCTAATTCCATATGTTTCTTTCTAAGGTAAATGGTTTAGTTTGTTGCAACAGAAGTAACTTGTTTTTTTTCTTTCAGGTTTTATTATATGATCTTCGCTCTGATAAGCCACTGCTAGTTAAAGATCACCAGTATGGTCTACCCATTAAGTCAGTTCATTTCCAGGAGTCATTAGATCTGATTTTGTCTGCAGACTCTCGAATTATCAAAATGTGGAATAAGAACTCAGTATGTATTTTTTTGTTGGAATTACTCTCGTTTTTATTTGTGTGTGTTCCCAATGCTCTTGTGCTCCCATTGCCTCTTTTGAATGATGTGGGTTCCTGAGCAGGAGATTATGAGGATCCGCGCGGGAGCCCTAGGAGGAGGCCAGGTGCTTATGTGATGTCTGTGCTTAAGAGAGGCAGTCGTGCTTGCACCTTCTCCTGAGGTTTTCCAGGGTTGCTAGTCCTGGGGTGCATTTTTGATGTTGAGTTAGGTGGATAGAAAGCCATTGTTTTAAAAAGTCTATACCTGAGATCCTAAGCCTTTGTCACCACCCAAGGAAGGTTCTTCATGGACCATGAGTTATCTTTCCATGTCAGTGTTATTGTAAATCCCAGTTTTATTCGTTTCCCACCTTGAATAGGTGGATTTTTAGAGGCGGCACCTTTATAACGATTTCTAACAATATTTTTCTTAAAAAATAATATTTTCTCTTGAATATTTTGATATCCCTTCCCTCGGTTCTTAGTGTTATTTAAAAAATAATAAAATCCAGCATTACTGGCTTTAACCCCCTTTTGCTTTTTTCATTTTATTTATTTATTTAATTTTATTTAAAAAAATATTTTTAGTTATAGGTGGACACAATATCTTTGTTTTATTTTTATATGATGCTGAGGACCGAACCCAGAGCCTCACACATGTGAGGCAAGCACTTTCCCTCTGAGCCACAGTCCCAGCCCCTGCTTTTTTCATTTTAAATAGTAGAAGGTAAGTTTATCAAGTAAGTCAGGAAAAAAATGCATTCAGTCTAACAATTGCTTTTAAGAGGTTTTTTTGCATTTAATTAATTAGAGACTTATAATCTTAAATTTGTTTTTTTAAAATAACATAATAAGTGCAAAATAGCATCTGTAGTTTAAAAAAAAAAAAAAAGTGTCACTTTTACAGAGTTTATCCCTGAGATGAAGGTGGGTGGAAGGTAGCTGCTGGTCTCACAGGAAGCTGCAGAGCTCAGCCTTGTCATCTTGTTCCCTTGTCTCTAGTTTTCAGACCATTACTTTGGTTTTTTAAGTTCCACTTTTTGACTCCTGAAGTGTTGAACTAACTTACCTTTTTTCCCCCTCTGCATTTGCTCTGGAAGTTTAGAGCTGTTCTTAGGGGGTTTTGCCTCTTGAGCCCTAGTTCTGTGAGTTCCTTGTGACTCTTGAAGTGACTCAGGGACAATTACCCTGATAAGTGCCCAGGAAACAGTTGAGCTGTGTGCACTGTGGGCTTTGAGTTTGCAGGAAGTTTGCTTTCTCAGGAAGATTCAGCGTGTCTTAGATCAGGATTTTCTCTGCTGCTTTTCTGGCAGTCCAAACTTCTTCAGTGTTAAAAACACTATTCTTGCAATAGGGTGGCATCCCAGGGACTCAAGACGCTAAGGCAGGAGGATTGCAAGTTCAAGGTCAACCTCAGCAACTTAGCCAGACTCTGTCTCAAAAATAAACAAAAAGGGCTGGGACTGTCGCTCAGTGGTAAAGAGCCCCTGAATGAATGAATGAAAGAAAACACTTTTTTAATTACTACAAATGCGCTTGTTTTTATTTTTAAAAATCCATACATACTGATGCTGAGGAAGTTACTTTGGCCTGGCTTCTGTCCTACCTAAAGGCAGCAGCTTATCAATTTAGATATTAGCGTGTGTTCCCCAGACTCTTCAGCTGCGTCGAGTTTCCCACAGTATGGATTTCTGTAACTGTGGTACCCCTTCTTTTTCTATTATAGTTTCCTTTCCCTTCCTTCCTTTCCACTTCCTTTTTATCTCAGGAACCTGGAAAGGAAGAGAGAGAGAGCCGTGTGAGTGTCACTGTTGGCTGCAGTTGTTCACGGAGCTTGAAGTGACCCCCTTGCCTGGCTGCAGTGCCACTCCCTCCCACCCTGAGGACTCGCTGTGGCCAGATGTTGGTCTTCTAGTAAAAACTAATAGCTGCAAGAGCTGGCAGAGCTCTTCAGCATTGCAACTTAAAACTTCAAACCGTCACACTGTAATTGCTACAGTAAATTTTACTTTGGCATTTTTTGTTTCTTATGACTAAATACTTCCTCTTGACTAACTCCCAGGTTGCTTGGCTTTGCGTGACTTGCCTGCCTTGTTTATCTTTCTCATCGCCCTTCTCACACCCACCTTCTTCTGTCAGTTTTTTTCTTTTACTTTCCTCCTTTTTTAAATATAGCACACTACCTCACATTTAAAATAGGAATGTTTTGGCCTTATTTACATAATAACTCAGGCCTTATGTATTTGTAGACTTCTTTTGTATTTCACATCCATTGTCTTGGTCTCCTGTGCCCTGTATTTGAAGTATAGGAATGGCAGATGTCCTCATTTACCATGGTGGCTGTTCTCCTCTGGGTTCTTTGAGTACGAATTAAGTAGGGAATATGTCACAGATTTTTTGTAAAGTTGCAAATTTTTTGTAAAGTTGATGTGCAGTTTATTTTATACTTTGCCCCTTTTCAACATATAGGTATCATCTTTAAAACCCTGGGGCTTTTTTGGACAAGTCACCTCTCCAATTTGGGCTTTAATTTCTTCATCTCTAAAATGAGAACATTTGATAAATTGATACCCAAATTCTCTAAGATTTTTTTAAATATAGATTTCTTCAGTTAGGTTGTTTTATTTATTTCTGTAGCAGCAGGTGGTTGAGTTACGTCTCCATTTTCTTTACATTGCTAAAAGTTATCTTTAACTATTTAAATAATCCTTTTTTGCTTACTGTTTTAGGGGAAAATATTTACTTCCTTGGAACCAGAACATGACCTTAATGATGTTTGCCTGTATCCCAACTCAGGTATGTATGATGTAGCACACAATGTTTGGTGAGACAAATGTTGGCTTTACATTTTTTAGCTTTAAACTAATTTTACTTCTTAAGATAGAGTTTGACTTGGTATTGGGTATTTTATTTAGAAGAATAAAGAACAGGAAGTGATATGCATGATTCAGAAGAAGGTACTTTTAATGACTCAGTCCTCATCCCACCTAGCTATTAGTAGAAACTAGTAACAATATTTAGGTAGGCGGCAGGTGAAATGCTATTTTGGTGTGCTCCTTAACTCTTTTATGTGATTAGTAATAGTGGGTGGAAATTGAGGTTAGAAATCGGAGGAGGCTGGAATTGCCTAACAATACACATATGGCTCATGAAGCCATGGGGTTTGGGTTTGTTCTCTGTTGTGTGCTGTTCAGAAAAGAATATGATAGATTTCCATGTTGAACAATACATTCAAGGCAATGTGAAGACTTTAGGGGTATGAGAGAAGAATGAGAACAGTTTCTACTCTGAAGTAGTATATTCCAGGTGTGAGCACACACAAATAATTCTAATGCAGGTATACATAGCAGAGCACAAAGAGTTCTGTCATGTTTGTGTGGACACACATTAGAGGGAACACTTTTTACCCAGAGTACTAAGAGAAGAGCCTTAGAGGAGATTTTGTTTGGCATTGAGTTTGGTGCAGTGAGTGAGGTTGAATTAGAGGGAGACGGGGTCTGTGATCCACTGAGGGATTGTTATACAATCTTTGTGAAAGAATAACAAGGAGGATGGGGCCCCTAGGGCCTCAGTGGGGATGGGAAACTTCACACCTGAGTTGTGGTGACTCTGGGAGGACTTGAGGTGGGAACAGGTGGAGAAGGTCTAGAAGTGACATGCTGAGTGACTTGGGGTCTGTCTGTCATCAGAGCACCTGTTGTGGTAAAGGGTGGATTGGTTTGAATCTAAAATGCTATGATACTGTCAATCTGGATACTGGATGCTGTAATATAAATTTATTATTTTTATAACCCTACATATTCAGTGACCCACAGTCTTTCTTTCTTTCTTTTTTTGGTGGGGCGGGTATTGGGGATTGAACCAAGGGCGCTTTACCACTGAGCTACATTCCCAGTGCTTTTTATTTTTTAATTTTGAGACAGAATCTCACTAAGTTTAGGGTTTTGCTAAGTTGCTGAGGCTGGCCTCAAACTTGTGATCCTCCTGTCTTAGCCTCCCAAATTTTGGGATTATAGCTATGTGCCACTGCACCTGGCTTTTTCTTTTTGTCTGTTTTTTCCTTACCTCTTAGATCAAAGCAGTTGGCTAATTTGCCAGGACTGGTTACCCTGCTGGTGTGTGGCAGGGCTTTGGTTAGGATCTTTCTGAAATGGGCTTATCCTAGTTAACACGTTAAGAAAGAGAGAAGTAGCTAGGGATCTTGTTATTTGCATTTCCCCTGTGAGAGTTTGAAGGCTCTTATACAGTGGGAAGGTAGTTGCATCCTGGAGAGTTCAGAAATACGTTGCAGGTGAAAATGCTGCAACCCTAGTTGGGTTATTGAAGTGATGGGGCTGTGGGTGGGAAGGTAGCTTGATGGTAAAGCACTTGCCTGGCCTCTGCAAGGCCCTGAATTCAGTTCCCAGTACTGCAAAATAAAAGGATCTGGGCTCAGTGTGAAGTGAATGAAGCAGGTGAGCTGAGGTTAGGACAGGGGCAAGGAATGGGATTGGCTGGAAAGGGAGTGACATTCTGAAGAGTGGCGGAGAGTAGTGAGAGAACCTCACTCCGGATCATTCCCCCATCTCTTTTTCCTTTTTCCATGACATTGACCTTTCTAAGATCAGGCTAGCAGTCTTGTAGAGCGTCCCCCTCCTGGACATGTATGATTGATTCTCAAGATGTTGTGTAGCTAGTTCCTCCAGCTCTGTTTTTATCTAAAATGACAGGGAGGACTAAAGGCTTAAGTTTAGGTTTAAATATTTTGATGAAAATGATGCAAGGCTGCTACAGGCTGAGGTCAGTCTGCAGCTAGCTGACTGTCCCCGAATTGGTAAGGATGAGGCTGGTTCGCTTGTTAGCGGGAATCTCTATTACCAAGTATGGTTTTCTTAGATTTTTAGAAGTGACATTTTGGACAGAGGAACAATTGTATTGTCAGATAACTTACAAGAGTCATCAGACATAAACCAGCTGGCCCAATCATTGCTGGGCTCTGTGCGACGGCAGGCGCGGGCAGATGAGTCCCTTACGTCTTCTCAGTGGCTTGGGCCTGAGCGTGGTTGATTCACAGGCTTTGCTTTTTCTTGCTTTGCCACACCTTTCACCCTCCGCGCCACTCCATATGTTTTATGCTTAATCACTATGAGCTTAATCATATTTTCGAAAAGCTAAAACCTCCTTGTTTCTTTATCTGCTCACTTACTCATTTTGGAGTAATTAAAGCCTAATCATGGTGATTGTTTTGGAATGTTTTTCTAGTAGTAAGGTGCTCAGGATATTGAGAAATGATTCTGCCTTTCTGGTTCTTTTTACCGCCTCGCTCTTCTTGCTTATTCAGCCCTCTGTGCAGTTCTCATGTGTCAAGCAGCTGCTCTATGCAGGTCAGGGCACTTACAGAGGCAGTGGGACTCTGTGACATTGATGTGCATCAGATTCATGACCCAGGAAGCTCCCGTCCAGACCTCTGGAAGAAGGATCATTGGTTTGAGAAACCATTGGCAGAGACAAAAGATGGGCTTTGGGCTCAAGAAAGACCTACTTCAGGGTTAATAATTATACCAATATCCCAGCCTCAGCTTTCTTGCCTCCTTTATAGGGCTGTCGGAGACCACGCATGCTATTAAACGTAGCTTTTTATCCTACAGCAGCGTCCTCTGAACTCATGGAAATCACTACTGGGGATAGCTGTAAATATCCTCACGTGCTCACTTCAGACAGGAGTTTACACAGGGGGAGTCCATCCCTGCTGTCCCTGTGGTGCAGTTTTGTTCTCAGAGCCTGAGCTGTTCAAGGCAGTGCTTCTGTGCTTCTCAAGTGTTTCTGGTAAAGGACTAGATGATGTTTCTTTTTTAAGAGTTGTGTGTTTGCTAAGATACTCTGTGTGAGAGTGCTCGGTATATTATCCTGGACCAGCCAAGTGTTTGCTGAGTTCAGTTTTAGAGTGCAGCAGTCTGGAACTGAGGCTACGAGGAGGCTCAGCAGGTGTGTCTCACCACATTGGGGAGCTGTCCCCCAGAAAACTTGGGGGGTGAGGGATGTGTTGAAAAGTAGAAGAGAAAAGATAACAAAACTGAGACATCTGAATACCCTGGTATCAAATAGTCTAGAGCCAAAGAATAATGGCTCTTTAGGTAGTCACTGCTACTAGGGTTACGGAGAGTCCTTTACGGAATTCCAGAAAACTGGCCTTCCTTCAGTTGTGCTTGCTGACAGTGCTGAGCCCTCAGAGACTAAACTAATCATTCTTTCTAATTAACAGAAAGAAGTTTTTCTTAATTCCTCATTATTACTCTAATAAAATAATACACCAAACTACCTTTAATTCATCTTTTGAAACTGAGCATTTTGCCAAACTTGGTGTGACTCTGAACACCTCATGGTGAGAACTTGTCGTGAATTTAGCTAGGACAGCCTGGTGTTTCCCAGATGGGGAAGTTGCCTTTGTGAAGATTGAGGTCCTGTGTCGAGGAGGGGGAGCCTGGCTTCCAGGTGTGGTGCTTCTGCTGGACGCTGCACAGTGTGCGCCGCAGGCCTTTCAGAATGAGACCCTGAGTAGAGAAGGGTACTGCCCCTGGTGTTTACTTCCCCGTGTGTTTACTTTCCCCGTGTGTTTATTTTTAGGAATGCTTTTCACTGCCAATGAAACCCCCAAGATGGGCATCTATTACATTCCGGTAAGAAATACAAGTCAGAGTTATAATATCAACAAGGCGAGTGAAGGGGTCTGTTTTGAACAGGTGTGTGGGGACTGGGCTTTGTGTGGCTGTGTCAGTGACGCACAGCAGACTCACTCGTGGGTTGAGTTTGCCTCCTGAAACGGGTGAAGTCCAGACACTCTTACGGGAAACTGCTTTATATCGTGTTAAAATAGACATTCTAAGTATTTATCCTTTAGAGTTATTCTTGGTTTCAAGCATTTCAGAATCTTAAACTTTCAGCTGTTGATCAAAAGACCTAAATCTGGAAGCCTGAACTTGTCCTGTCATACCAGCGCAGTTTGTGTCTAAAAGAAGCGAGACCCATCCGAGGTCAACATGGTCCTTGATAATCTGCCCTGATTCTTTCCTCCTTAAAGCATTCTTCTTTTATGCCAGAACCTTCCCCACTTTACCTCTTAGTTTATAGTGAAAAGAAACATAGAGGAATGTCATTTCCAAAGCAAAAGGATACAGAGTATAAAGTTGGCATTAAATTACTGAGATTTGGGGGGAAGAAAAATGGAGGGATTTGCAGATCAGAACTTGAGGGAGGTGAGCTCTCCATGACCTCTTTCACCTCCACTGATGAAATTACTTTCTATTTATGATGGTTCTTTTGAAGTAGCTCAACTATGTGAAGTATTCCGCCTGACACTTGAGTTGCTGTGGTCTCAGGAAACCAATGTTGAAAGCACTTTGTGATACTTCTTTTGATTGGTAATGAAATGAAGGCCTTTGGGTTTACCTGTGTTCCTTTCTCCTGGGCTCAGCGGCTTCCATATTCCCATCAGTTGACCTACCTTTCCTTGTGTTGGTTGTTGAACAAGTGTATGTTGGTTGCCTCAGCTGCGTGTCAGGCACAGTACTGTGTGCTGGCAGTGTGACAGTGCCCAGGAGAGACGTGGAGAGACTCAAGGTTGGTTATGTGGGCCGGGTGGAGGGGTGGGTTGAGCGGGATGTAGAAAGGGCGGGGATCTTGGCAGGAGAGGGAGTGGTGAGTTCAGTGCTCAGGGAGAAGAGCCAGGTGAGGAAGAGTCTCATGGCCAGGTATAGGAACAAGGGTCTGGAGTGCTGGCAGCGTCCTCGCAGAGAGTGATAGGATCAGATGTGTGTTTTAGAAAGGTTACTTTGGCTGCCACGAGAATGGGTTGGATAGGAGCCGGCTGGGGTGGTCTACAGGAAGACAAGAGTGCCTGCCCAGCTGCACCAGGCCTCCCTTTTTAGCGCTAAGATAATTTGGGAAAAGAAGTCCAACCTGGCAGGCAGTCATTTCAGAGGGTTCGTAATCCTTGAAATGTCCAGTGGTGTATCTCAGAGGTGTTCAGTGGTTAAGACTTGTGTAGATCACAAGAAATACCTCCCCTCAGCCCAGGGTTACCTCATTTTCTCCCCATTTCTGCCCCTTTGGTTAGCCGTGGGGAGAGGCAGAACACACCAGCTTGAGGTAACTCAGGGAAGACAGCTGTCTTCATCCTCCTCCAAAGAGAGCTTACCACGTTCTCATCTTCGGCTTCATCTTAGGTCTCTTCCCCATGTCAAAAATGGACTAGCAGGAAGGTGAAGGCAAGGCTTTTTCCTCCTCAGGAGGGGCTGAGCAGGCCAGATCCACCTGTGTGGGGTGGAGATGGGCTTTGGAGACTGGCAGTAAGCCCTCCATGAAGACACATGAAGCTGGGGCAGTGGGACGGAAACGGAAGGGCTGTTGAGGCTGTAGGATAGACTTGATGATCATTTGGTGTGAGGCAAAGGAAGAGGAAAGGATCAAGGACGACACCCTGGTTTCTGCTTGGGCAAATGTGTGGATGCTGAGGTCATCCCCAGGCCATGAAAGGTGGAAGAATATTAGAAATTATTTTTCTTTGATATTTTTGCATTTTATAAAATGACCTTTTGTAGAAATAGACACAGCTTTTTTGATTTGCAAGCAATCTATGCATTTTTCTATTCTCAGTGCTTTAAAAGTATATGGAAAGCAGTATGGAGATTTCTTGGAAAATTGGGAATGGAACCACCATTTGACCCAGCTGTCCTTCTCCTTGGTCTTTACCCAAAGGACTTAAAAACAGCACACTGCAGGGACACAGCCACATCAATGTTTATAGCAGCACAATTCACAGTAGCTAAAATGGAACCAACCTAGATGCCCTTCAGTAGATGAATGGATAAAAAAAAATGTGGCATATATACACAATGGAATATATTACTCAGCAATAAAAGAGAATAAAATCATGGCATTTGCAGGTAAATGGATGGAGTTAGAGAAGATAATGCTAAGTGAAGTTAGCCAATCCCAAAAAACCAAGTGCCAAATGTTTTCTCTGATATAAGGAGACTGATTCATAGTGAAGGGAGCATGGGAGGAATAGATGAACTCTAGATAGGGCAGAGCGGTGGCAGGGAAGGAAAGGTGCATGGAGTTAGAAATGATGGTGGAATGTGAGGGACATTATTATCCAAAGTACATGTATGAAGACATGTGACTATACTTTGTATATAATCAGAGATATGAAAAATTGTGCTCTATATGTGTAATAAGAATTTAATGCATTCTGCTGTCATAAAAATATTAATTAATTAAACAAATTAATTTAAAAAGTACAAAAATCATCCTGATACTGCTATCACTAATAGTAATACTTGGATGTTATACTACTGTTAATATTTGAATGTATTATCTTTCAATTTATATTTATAATGTTACACATGTGAAATTGTATTTACTATACAAATTTGTATCTGGGTTCCTTAAGTTAACCTTAGAAATATAGTGCCAAGATATTAAAATTACCAAAAGCATTTTTAGTTACCTCCATTATATTTCATTGCTTGGCTTGTGACGTATATGTTATGTTAGAACTGTAAGAGACTTCTGATTTCCTGGGTCTGTTTCTTTGGGTTCTTGTTGCTGTTCCAAATGATGGAAACTTGAAGCAGCAGGAGTGAGAGGAGCTGGTAATAGCCAGGTGGTGAGAAACTGCTCTCTAGATCAATGTAACATAGGACCCTTTAGTTTCAGCTTCGTAACAGGAAGCTGTGACAAAAGTCCAGAGCCCTCGCCTGATGCCTGTGCGTGTGGCTCAGTTCCTGCAAAGTCGAGTGCTGTGTGCAGCTTGCACTGCCATGCTCCCTCCTGACCAGGCCTCCGTCCTGCTGCCCCTGCGTGTTTTATAGCAGCACTTGTCTTTGCTTGGAACCTGCTCTTTGTAATACTCCAACAAAGTGCAGAGAGCCCAGGGGTCTGAAAGGCTGCCATTTTTCATAAGATTTTATCAGACTCACAGAGCTGATATTTGGCTTGAAGTTTCATCTGAGGCCTATGGAACCAGAGAAGTGTGTGTTTAAGACATGATTTGTGCCAAGTGTAGGCAGTCTGGACCGATTTGTATTAATATCTTATAAATCAGGCATGAAATACTCTCCACCCCACTTTTGGGCCATGTAAAAATGAAGACAGCTCAATGTACTTTCAGCCTGTTCAGTTTTGCCTTTCTGATACCATCTTTCTTGAATACCTGAAGTCTTTGTAGATTAAGGCAGTTCCTGATTTATACTACCTGCTGCCACTTCAGTAGCTAAGTAGCTAACTAGTCCTGGGCAACCACATGGGGTTTTTTTTTAGCACTTGTCCCATTTTCTGAGTGACCTCCTTTTTTCCTTCAGAGGTGGGACTCTGAGGTGCTGTTTGCTTGCTTGCTTCAGAGTCTAACTCATTTTCAACTCCAGAGACTAATGCCAGGATATTTTGTTTTCCTCTAAAATTTAATTTAATCTCAGGTTAGTGTGTCATAACGGACACCTTTGGCAGCTGTGTAGACTCCAGGGAATCCAGTCCCCTGTGGCACCCACCCCCAAACCCAGTCCTGAGGTTGATACTGTTGCTTTAGAAATGTTTGCAAGTTCCATGCCTCTGATGCACAGTTAGCTTCTGCAGCTGCTGGGCACTTGGTCATTGGGTGTCTGCTTGCTTGGTAATGTGGATGAGTAAAAGGAAAATGTATTATTAATTGTTTTGGAAGCTCTTTGATTTAGAAGAACAAAAAGGATTGAGTTAGCAAAGCATGTAAGTTTCTGGTTTTGTTCTAAACATATAAATTTAAGCTGCTATAAAGATCATATGCAGTGTCACTGCACCCAGGTTTTATACTGGCTGTTAGGTATTTATTTTAAAACTTTTTTTAGGAAAAACTTGTATATTATATCTGCTAAAATGTTTTATTTATAATGAATCAACAAAACATAATGATTGATTATTTTAGCATTTACTATTTAATTTAAAACTTGGAAAGTACTTTTGGAACCAAAGTCCCTGCAGATGGGGCAGAATTAGAAACAGGAAGGATGATATCTAACCTACACTAGTGCTTTTGTTTCTAGTATGAAATGGTCCTTGAATTTCTCCAGCATAATTCATAAAACACCCCAAACTCTCCCTTGAAAATAGAGGAGACTGGGTGTGGAAAAAGATGAAGTCTTGGGAAACACTTGCTTACCTTAATTTTTAACTACACAGAGCTGGGATGCGGCTCAGTGATAGAGTGCTCCCCTTGCATGCATGAGGCCCTGGGCCGAATCCCCAGAACTTCAAAACACACCCCCCCACACACAACCCTTCTGGAGACATGCAAAGCCAAAGGCAGTGCACAGCACATGCTGCACAGTGTTGAAGGTGGCAGGGAGCAATAGCTTAAGAGCATCTGGAAGCCATTTGTAGACAGGTGACTGAGAAATGTTGTGGTAAATATATGGATAATTGCAGTCTCGCACATTTTTTGTTGTTGCTTAACAAAGAAACAAAACTAGGTGTTGGAATTTGTTTGTTTTTTAATCAGTATTTTTTCTCTGAGTACTTTTGTGCCAAAAGCAAGTTTGGGTACAGACGATTTTAACTGCCCTGTGTGTAGTGAATTGAATTTGTTTAGTTATAAACTCAGTCACTATGTCAGATTGTCTCTTTGTGGCTAGTTTTTGGTCATATC